ACAAAAGTCTCTTAAGTTAGAAAAGTGATTAACTTAGTATAAAAAAAAGTTTTAAATGTGTGCACGCCACATTTGAAAACCCTTAATTTTTATAAATAATTTGAGTCACATTTTACTATGATCATTCTCTGGTTGACTGGTGAATCACCAATTAATATTTTCAGAAAGAGTTTGAGGGCAGGGGATATTATAGTATGCATCAAGGGCAGAAATAAAATTATTAAAAGAATTATCTTCTATGGTTAATAAAGGTTGATTATTAATTACAATCTATTTTAATAGATTGTAATTTAATAATTTTACATAGCATTCTTTAGCAGCTGAGTACAAGGAATTTTTACATTTATCACAGAATTTAAAAGTTTCAAGAGTACTAAATTCTTCAAGATATTCACTGATCCGTCTTTTTTTTGGCTGTTTTTTTCTAATAGAAATTTGAGTATCTTCAAATGAAGATAATACAAACGAATATTCAGATGAGTAAGACGACATAGTAAATTCAAGTTTTTTAGATTGATAAATAGGCGAATTTGGTAATAAACAGGCAATGGAAAGAATACGGCTTTATATAAAAAATTCAAATTTCAAAGAGCATAGTCAATATTTGTTATTTTTATTATTCTTTTACTGATTACATATATTAATAGACTATAGTTTAGTTAATTGGTCACTGAAGATGCTGAATACTGTCAAAGGCCAGTAGGCATTCAGCATCTTTAGTGACTAATTAATTAAACTAAAAATAAGGGATTTATTTTATAGCACTATAGCATTGTAGTGCTATAGCACTACAGTGCTATAGTACTATTAATAAAATTTATTAAATTTTTTATATTTATTTATATTTAGTATTTAAATATAACAATATATATAATATATATACAGTACATAATATATATATATAGTATAAATACCTAACGTGACATCGCACAAAAATTAAGCTACTCATTCTAACACAACTAGGTAGATGCAAAACCAGTAGGTGCCCCAATTATCGCTATCAAAAATTCACTTCTACGTGATTAAGAAACCATCTTTTATGGACTGACAAAAAGTTTTCCTTGAGCGATTTTACTAAATAATATCTAAACCCAGACTCTAAACTAGCTACTTACCCTAACTTTAAACAATTTTTGTCATTGGTTACATATAACAATAAATAAGTAAATTATGTTACCAATTCATTTATCTAACCCTAATACGAATTCTAATTCATGATTTAGATTTTACATAAACAAATTTAAGAAATTTGCTAAGCGAATTCTATTATTACTAACCCTATCTATATACCTTTCTAACCCTAACATGAACTCTATTTTAACCTTAACCTTTTAACTCTAATACAAGTATTCTCTGAAAAAGAACTTTATAATTAGTATGTAAAAATTTTATTTGCCAAGATAATAACTGATATACTTAGAAATCTATAAAAACTTGAGATATATATATGTACCTGATACTCAATACAGTTCTATCACAAATTCTAGAAAATAAATTTCTGAAAGGACATAATACTGACAAAATCAGCTAGCATTATAACTAATACTAGCTAACTTTGTCAGTATTATGTCCTTTCTTTCAGATTTTGTAGTAGAACCAAATGTCAAACTGTTTTTCAAATTAACACTATATATACCAATATAAATATTTTGCAGAGAAAAGCATTTTTAGAGCAATGTTTTGAGTAAATAGGCAATTTTGTATATTTTAGATTGGTAGTAACTTTATATTAACTTTTCGCTATTTGTGTCAATCAAGCAACTTAAATAATGCCAAAAAAAATTCGAAAAACAATTTAACTTTTTGCATTACACATAATATTTAGTAGTATAGACTTGCCAATATTGCTTATAACAATAATTAATATTTGATATTTTATTAACAATTCTTATCTTTGAGAACAAGTCACCTAATTATAGCTAGTACCACCACAAATTTTACAGTGCAATTTGTGCTTTGTCTTTTTTGGTGGCTCACATGCATGTCATATTCTGTTAGTTCCCTTGGGCCAACCTCTGGCTTTATACTTATAAGGATTCATCAACTTTTTTGGATCCAACTTCTCATTACTAATATTACTATCTGCTTCAATCTCACTATCTGAAGAAGCATCACTATTACTGTTAGAAGATAGTACTTCCTGACAATCATCCAAATATTTATCAAGAATATCAATAAAGTTATAATCACATCTTCTAACAGCTACTGCTAAAGCTGCCCTTGCCTTACCCCATGCTTCACCATACAACTTACGCTCATTTATAGTCTTGTGGTTTATATCCTGCATTTTGTATATCGAGCCTTGAATTAAAGTATTAAGATGAGGAACTGATCTATTCCAATCTATTGTTACTGATTGTTCTATATCAAACTTTTGTGCAACTAGGAATGGCTCTTGCACTGGGTTACTGCATGTTTTATTGTACCACTATAACCTAATAAGCTGAATATGGAACGTTGCAGCTTGTGTATATAACATTACCTAAAAGTAATAATGGCAAACAATCCCATAGTTGCAATGGTTGAAGCAGGAACATAAATGTGTTCCATTATTTAGTAGTATTATAAAATGTTGTATTTCATTTGATATAACACGCTTGACTCCCCATATTTCAACAATCTTGTTTGAATCAACCAAATTAAGTATTGACTTTGCAATAATATTAAGATTTCAATTTTCACTAAATAAGGTAGGGTTATTGAGGTTTATCTGCAGAATACGTACAAATATGTAATGTTAAGTAGTGTCATGATACCTCATAATCAATATTCAAATTTTTTTACTTATAGTAAGATATCTTTGTAGCTCATTTTGAGTTACTATCAAAGTGTGGTATTGAAGCGATTGTTTTATTTGGTCTTCTTGAATTCTCAATACTTCTACAGTTAAGTACTTGTGTAGCACATTGCAAATATTTGGAAGAATGGTATTAGCTGTCACAACCAGAGCCGCTTTAGAAGCTGATGCACAAAATAATGAGTACTCTGTTTTTTTATCTTCTTCAAGAATACATGCAGTTAATTTTTCTGCAAGTTCTAATAGAGTTGTATTAGAATTAAATATTAATCTTTTGACCTTTGAATTATAGCTTTCAACCCAAGAAGTGGAGGATATTCCTGCAGTAAATAATTTAAGTACAAATGACTTTGCCCATGATTCTTTATTAACATAAAGCTGTTGCAAGTAATTAACCACATTTTTATTACTATATTTTTCAAGTAGACATTTCCACCGATATTCAAAGATTATGACGAAGTTAATCTGTTGTACTTCAAAGAAATCTCTTATAAACTCATCGTAATTGTCCTTAAGATAATTTTTTAAATTGAGAGGAATATTTTGTGCAATATGAAACATGCAATTAAGAGCATTTGTAGTTAGAAATTCATCATGTATTGCAGCAATTAAAGCAGGGTCAGCATCAGTAAAAATAACTTGTAGAGCAGATCCTCGTGTTGCTTCTTTAATTTGCTATAATATTCACTTATGTGCCTCTTTTGTTTCGTCATCTGTTAGTGCCTGGGCTACCAGTCAAGAAGATAGATGATTATCAACCACCAAAAAAAGTGACAATGCCATCTCATAACGATTAGTTGCACTTGTATTATCATTTAGAACGACGTCGGCAAATTCCAGCCATTGTTTAATTTGATCAGAAGACATATAGAATAATCGCCGAAAACATTTACTATTAGGGTCCCAATCTACCTGGACATACTATTGGAGATCTACTTCTTTTTTATTCAACAATTTTTGATACAATTTACTAGCATCATTTGTCTGATCCCGTAATTTTGGGCGAAATTGTTGAATTATTTGTCGTAGTATTGGCATATAGACCTTTACAAAATATTTCTCTTCAAGGGCTTTACGAATTTGTTGGGGGCTACAATTCATCTTTGCTACAAAGAACTCAACATCATCGATCATCTCTTTTGTGAATACTATATTTTCCTGAAAGTTGTAGCGAGCTTGGTTAAGATCATGATTTTTATGTTCATTAGTTAATTTTGCAATGTATACAATTTTGTTAGGGTTTTCTTTCTCAGGGCACGACAGATTTATTTGCCATGTACACCCAATCCGCTTAGTTGTTGTTTCTTTTTTTTGATCTTTACTTTTTGTTGTTTCAGGTTGCCCAAAGTGTTCACAAACTATGGTACGTCTCCGGATATTACCATTCTTAAGTTTTTCAATACGATAACAATGTGTCTTAAACCCCTGTCTTTTTTCATACTTTTTAATTTCACTCATAGCATAATTCTAGTCAAGAAACACCATACCCTCTTGCAACTCATAATGTTGATTGCTTTCAAAATTCTCCATATCGTATGTATTTTGATATAACACATTATTACTAATGTTATGTTTAGTGTTATTACTATTATATAGTATGTCAAGTCTATCATCTATATAATCTCACTCATGAAAAGTTGCAGCCACCTAAAATTTTTCTTGGTAAGCCTCTAAATTTACTACAAAATTATTTTGATTTTGATTTCTAAGATCAAACTCAAATTGACCATTTTCATATAGTATATTGATCCTGTTAATCATATTATTACATCCGGGAAGCATTGTATTCACTAGAAGTTCGTAGTAGGTACTTTCAGAATTCATTATATTATACTATCCATCGTTACTAATGTCAACTTCATTTATCATACTACTCCAATTATGAAATATTATATGCACTTGACTTTCTTGTATCTCTATCAAATCTAAGTTATATTAAGTGGTATCAAGTTAAGTGATATTAAATGTATATTGTATTAAGCGTAAGTAATGTCAAATGTAAGTTATATTAAGTGGTATTAAGTATAAGTAGTATTAAACATACGTTATATGAGCATAAGTAGATATTAATAATATCAAATATAATTTGTATCTGGGTCAAGCGAAATGGTTATGTAAAAGCAGTCATGCGAAAATAGTTATGCTAAAGTGGTCAAGCGAAGGTAGTTTTGCAAAATAGTTAAGCAAAATTGATCAAGTGATGATTATGCAAGCAAAAGTGGTCAGACGAAAATAGCTAAACAAAAGTAAATAAAAATTAGAAATACTGTATACTACTTTTTTTTACTTTAATATTATAATTTTAATTTATTAAACTTTTTTATTATTATATCATATGAGATAATGGTAGCATTACAGTGCTATAGCACTACAATGCTATAGCGCTACAACAATATTCCCTAAAAATAATATTAATATATTAATTTTTTCTAGTGTTTGTAGTCGATTTTGCATTAGTCGATAAAATCAGCTTAGCCGGCTTAGTTAGTCGATTTTTCAAAAAATCGACTTAGTCGACTACACAATAGGTTATATATGTTTATTAAAAATTTAGGCCAGTTTATACTAGAATCCGAAAATTTCTGAAAAGAAAATCAACAAATATAAAATACGAGCAAGGTTGAGACAAAAAATTTGAGGAAATCTCTGATAGCTTCCAAAGTTTAATCAAATAGAACTTCGAATAATTGACTTTGACTTAGCCGGCTAAGCCAATTTTTAAATATTGACTTAGTCAAGTCAATAAATAATGGTCGACTACAAATACTAATTTTTTCTATTGAACTTGTGTCACTTATTATTTAATGAATTCTTTACATTAGCATTTTAGATGCTATACACAATTATTTTAGACATATTATCTCAGAAATAGTTAGGCACATTGAACATAATATGAAAATTATATGTACTTAGATAAAATTTCTTATTTAGGTAAAGGGTTATATAAATAAAATTGATATTAGATATTGTTATAATATATTACTAACTTACTGTTATTGAATTATATGAAAATTTTTAGCACAGAATCTTGTATTATAGCTTATTATTAACAGTGCGGAACTGATTACAGGCCATAACAATATAATTGTTAGTATGCAATTTTCATTAATCCGTATTAGTGCTAGTAATGTTAAGATTTGTAAGAGAATGAGCTTTAATGAAGAAATGGAGTTTTATTGTATTACTAACTTATTGCTTTGTCAAAATTAGTATAGTCTTTAAGTTTTATAAAGTTTTTAGACACAGAATCTTGCATTACAGCTTATTATTAAACAATGCAAGATAAGCGTATTAGTACTAACAGTGTTAAGTTTTACAGGGAACAGGCTTTAATAAATAAAAAAATGTAATTTTCATTGTTATAATGTATTACTAACTTAGCACTAAGTTAAAAATAGTATAATTACTAAGTTTTTGAGTATAGGATCTTACAATTTATTATTAAACCGTGCAAACTAATAGTAGGCCATAGCAACTATAATTATTAATATACAATATTTAGTAATCATGTATTAGTGCTAGTAATGTTAAGGTTTGCAGAGAAAGAGCTTTAATGAAATGAAGAAATAGAATTTCTATTATTATAATGCATTACTAGCCTATTGCTTTGTTAAATTTAGTATGACCATTGACTTTTATAAAATTTTTGAGCACAGGATCTTATATTATAACTTATTATTAAATTGTATAAACAAATGACAAGCCATGATAATGTAATTATTAGAATGCAAGATAATATACAATATTCAGTAATCACGTATTAGTGCTAATGAAGAAATGAAATTTTCATTGTTATAACACATTATTAACCTATCACCTTGTTAAATTTAGTATGACTATTAACTTTTATAAAATTTTTAAACACAGGATCTTGCATTATAACTTATTGTTAAATTGTGCAAACAAATAACAAGCCACAATAATGTAATTATTAGAATGCAAGATAATATACAATATTCAGTAATCACGTATTAGTGCTAATGAAGAAATGGAATTTTCATTGTTATAACACATTATTAACCTATTGTCTTGTTAAATTTAATATAACCATTGACTTTTATAAAATTTTTGAGCACAGAATCTTGTATTATAACTTATTGTTAAATAGTACAAACAAATAATAGGCCACAATAATGTAATTATTAGAACAAGATAATAAGAAAATACATGATATTCAGTAATTGCGTATTACCGTAGAGCACTGTATACAGTATCCGGGGTCTTATCCAAGAACCTCATTTTTAAAATTGAATAGTACCGGGTACTAATTATGAACCCAGTGATTTTACTGGTGGAGAAGGGGGTACTTTATGTAGTAGGGTATTATTTTCGGGAGATACTTTATGCAGTGCTCTATGGTAGTGCTAATGAAGAATATGAAATTTTCATTGATCTCACGTAGGTACTACTAACTTATTGCTTTGTTAAATTTAGTATAATTATGAGTTTTATAAAATTTTTGGGTATAGGATCACAGCCAAAGCTGAAACAACACATAATAAATGCCGGCCATCCAAAGTATCGTTCTTGATGCATAATTATTGCGATCAAAAGAGTTGGCCAGGTCAGCCATTCCAAAGTGCTATTATACAAGCGCATATAATAAAAAATTACAATCAACAAAGTTATCGATATCTTGTCGAGTATAATTCTATATTAAATGGCTTGTGTAACTACACTTTGGAATAGCCAATTGGCCAACTCTGTTGATCACAATAATTATGTATCAAGAACGACACTTTGGATAGCTGGCATTTACTTTTCAGCTCTGATTACAACTTATTATTAAACAGTGCAAGCTACAATAATGTAATTATTAGAATGCATGATTCTAGTGCTAATGCTTGAGAGAAATAACTTTAATGAATTTTCATTGACATAACGTATTATTAACTTACCACTTTGTTAAAATTAGTATAATTATTGAGTTATATAAAATTTTTGGGCACAGAATCTTGCATTATAACTTATTGTTAAACAGTGTAAACAAATGACAGGCCACGATAACATAATTATTATAACAAGATAATAAAATAATATACAATATTCAGTAATCATGAGTTAGTGGTAATATTAAAGTTGCAGGAGAATAGGGCTTTAATAAACGAAGAACTTGAGCATGTTTCTTTTTTTAAATATTTGCAATTATTAAATATATACTATTATATTAAGATATTAAATGTATCTTTATAATAGATTATTAAGTATTAAGGCTTCTAAAAATGCAGTTAGCAATGAACCACCAGCCCCATTAATAATTGTTATTGATAAACCAAAGTAGGCAAAATTTTCTAATAAAACAGCCAAATACCAAATTAGTAATTGTTATCAAGGGGCGAAATTTCTAATAAAAAACCAAACTGCCAACCCTATTGATAAGTGTTAACAATAGACTAGAATGAGCAAAATTTTCTAATGAAGCATCAAAATGTAAACACTATTAATAACTATTAGGGAATAATAAAATTCAATAAAAAAACTCTTTCCCGTAGATCCCAAAACACTAAGTAAACAAATAAATCGCAAAAATAATTCAAAAAACCATC